TCGAAAATTTGTTTCAAAGTATCATCACACAGTGTAGAATTCAAATTCGGCCTTTGGCAATTGGCGATTCAATAATAGACGTGTTCGCACAATTACACGGGTAAGTTACATCTCGTGGTTGCATTCAACAGAGAAAGAGAGAGAGAGAGAGAGAGAGAGAGAGAGAGAAAGAGAAAGAGAGATAGCAGCTCTGGGAACAATCTGATCGGTAATTGTGAAACGTATATATCAAAGTTAACCAGATATATCGCGCGAGTTAGATCTCACTTCTTCTCACAATAATACAATAGATCCTGCGCGTGTGCGCAGCCATTTTTTCCAAACTCCAGAGATCTACGTGATCTTGCAATTGATCTTTCGCGAACGATCGTTTCGCGAAGCTAATGACTCTAATTGCAATTGTAGCGGTACAATCTGTGATTTATCAAAACGTCATCTGCGTTGAGAAGTAAATATAGATGTATTCTCCTAACATCGCGCAGATTTTTGATAGTCAGTCACTTGAACTTGCGAAGATTTTAGCTTCAAACTTTAATCTCGAAGCTAGTGTTTTTCTTCTTGCGTGCGAATGCTCGTGAACTATTATAACAGCAAAGATAAAGTAGCTTGTTACTTAAAATTTTGTTATTTAATTATTTAATAAATAATTCAATTATTTATTAATTATTTATTATTTATTATTTAATTATTTAATAAATAATTTAATTATTTATTTATTATTTATTATTTATTATTTAATTATTTAATAAATAATTTAATTATTTATTATTTATTATTTATTATTTATTATTTAATTATTTAATTAACTATGATCAATCATTTAATATTTATTTGACTATTAATTAATTATTTTAATCATTCAATTATTTAAACTGTCAATTAGATTTCCTTATCAATTTTTTTATATACATAAATAGAAATACGTTTCTTCTGAGACGTTCTGTAAAGTAAAAAAAAAAAAAAAAGAAAAGAGAGAAGGAATGAATTAAAATTGAAATCAATTTTACGGTGAATAAATTCCAATTTTGTCCAAGTAATAATTTAACAGTGTCGAACGAGACGGATGGTTGTTTAATTCGTGGTTTTTGTTTCGCAAGAGAAGTCTCGACGATGGAGAGGAAAAATTGTCCGCGAGAAACGAGATTAATTGATCGCGTGAGCTGCAACAATTAAGCAACCTTCGCACAATTCTTTCCCATCCTACGTGCTGACAATACAGCAAGCTTGCTTCCTCTAGAACTTCTCGCCGCTTGTGATCGGTTAGAATTGAGATGATAATATGTATATTGCGAGGATTGAAATTTCATATTCAAGTCTGCGAAGCGAAACATCGATTTTATAGACGGAACGAAATATAATCCTTTATCTCCGTTCTTGTTACAAGCATCAGAATTGAAACATAAATTCCAAACTGAAAAACAAACACTATGAAATGGTAGTTCCCGATCGCAATCTTCTTCTTTTTTTTTCTTTTTTTTTTGTAATAGAAAGAGATATTATACATTCAGTCTTGAGCGAGATTTTATTTCAGAAGTCAATTCTTTCATAGTATTCTCTGGGAAATATGAATTCAAAGTGTTAATGTTATGTGAGTGAAATATTTTTATTTACTTAGGAAAGATCGTTTTACGTTTATATTCAAGAATATTATTATTATCGTGTAAAGAATATTATTATATATATATAGGAATATTATTTGAATCTGGAAGGAATATCTTTTATTCTTTTATATATTTCTTTTAGATATATCTAATCTCTGATAATATAAATATATGTATCACCTAGATTTTGTTTTCAGTTGAAATCAATTTTTTCTGTTCTTCGTTTCGTTAATATTAATATTATTATTATTAATATTAAAATTAATATTATTTAACATCTAAAATATTAATTATTTATTATACACCAATAATATAAATATTTATTATATATCAACATTTAAAATATTAATTATAATTTGATTAACATAATATATTAATATATTAATTAACAGCACATAAAATATTAATTACAATTTGAAATAAAATATTATAAGCAAAATATTCACTCAAAGAAGTCATTGCTTAGAATATTTTTTCAAAAAATAATTAAATTGCTAACCACAATTGCCTCTGCAATTAAAAGAACGTCGTGTCTCACGCGTGTCATGTTCAAATTCATCAATGTCCCTGTCTTTTTCCTCTGCCGTAATAAACACCAACCAGCGTGAAATACACTCCTGTCGAGACTCATTGTCAATCGAGAAGCGCGCGCGTTAATCGTCAGGATTCGACTCGGATGGAAACAGCAGCCGAGTCGCGTGAGTAAATTCGGTGCGACCCAAATTGGCGTGCGAGGATTCTCAAAGAGTAATCAAGTCCCGTAAGAGAAAAGGGAATTGAACGTACCGTTAATTTTATTCCAAGTGCATGCAGTTAAGTGCCCGCCCAGTTAAGTGTCCGCGCCTTTACCTAGTCAAGCGTCCGTCTCGATCCCCACCACTTCTTGAAATTGGGACTGTTCCCCCACTCTACCTTACCGTGCGGCCCGCGTGAAGCACGGGAAGAAAATCAAGCCGATATTTCGACACATATCGATCAAAGTTTGGGCAAATTTTATATTAAATAACAAATGCATATCCAATTTATAGGTATTAATACGATTAATAGAATCATACTGTGTGTATTGTTAATTTAAACATCGATGAAAATGTATGACCTTTATTCGAGGTTTCTATTCAATTATTGATAATTATCGAGCAACTATTTTTATAGGAGTTATATCCAATAAATCTTCGAGAAATTTAGATTAATCACAATCATTTGATAGTTGTAGCTTATTTAGTTTAAAAGTTATTAAATTTGACGTTATTAAATTTCAAATAGTTCAAAATTTACGCTATTAAAGTTAAAATAGTTAAATTTTACGTTATAAAATTTACAATAATTTAAATTTTATGTTGTTAAATTTGAAATAAAGTTAAAATTTTACGTTAAATGTAAAACATTTTAAATTTTATGTTATTAAATTTAAAACAGTTTAAATTTTACATTATTAAATTTACAATAGTTTAAATTTTGCGTTATTAAATTTAAAATAGTTTAAATTTTACGTTATTAAATTTACAATAGTTTCAATTTTACGTTATTAAATTTATAGTAGTTTAAATTTTACGTTATTGAATTTACAATAGTTCAAATTTTACGTTATTAAATTTACAACAGTTTAAATTTTACGTTGTTAAATTTAAAACAGTTTAAATTTTATATTATTAAATGTTATTAAATTTACAATAGTTTAAATTTTGCATTATTAAATTTACAATAGTTTAAATTTTACGGTATTAAATTTAAAACAGTTTAAATTTTATGTTGTTAAATTTAAAACATTTTAAATTTTATGTTATTAAATTTAAAACAGTTTAAATTTTATGTTATTAAATTTGCAATAGTTTAAATTTTGTTATTAAATTTACAATAGTTTAAATTGCATTATTAAATTTACAATAGTTTAAATTTTACGTTATTAAATTTACAATAGTTTAAATTTTACGTTATTAAATTTAAAACAGTTTAAATTTTACGTTGTTAAATTTAAAATAGTTTAAGTGCATTCAGTTTAAACAAACTGTTAAAAATGTTAAATTTCATTGCAACATCATTAAATAATGTAGTGAACAATACTGGATATATCGCGGACCAATTCGCAGAACACGCGCCCTCTTAGGTGTCCGCTTTCGGTCTCCAACTGCTATACCATGTTAGTACACTATAGAAACTTCGCGTATGACGCAAGATCTCGAAGGCGCGACAATCGAAGATCTCAGCGCTGGTGTATTGTTCGTCACGTGCCCTGTGTTACAACGTAACACGTTACACAATGACGAACCAATCGATGTTAATTAATCGAACGCGCGTTAATTAATCACTGGCTAATCAATTACCGACTACGATCAAAGTGAAACGCAATCCCGTGAAATCGCGATTTGACAGCAGTCTATAGGGTGTCCGTAAAGTTTCTTCACAATTTCAAAAATTTATTACAAAGACAAATGAAAAAACAGATAAGTGAAAATTATTAAAAAATGAGACGTATATATTTAAGTTTTTTTTTTTTTTTGCCTCATGGGCATCTTGATTTCTTACACGATCGATGTTTTCCTCAAATGTTCTTGGTCATCCACGCCTCCCTTTATCGAACACTGTCCCTGCCTCTATAAATTTCTTGTGCGAATTGATGGACGTGACGGCGGATCTTTTCCACACTTAGTTTTGAAGTTTTGCTGAGTCTGCAGATTCGAGTTGGTTTCAATAAACCATGATACGCACTGTGCTCTCTCTTGAGCAATAGCCATTTTGTAAGGGGTTCGTTTAACAGTATCTTATTCATCAACAGGGTAGCTAAAATGCAATTTGATAAAAACGTTGATAAATACTGAATACATGGAACAAATCTGATGAAGATCTATCTCATCAGTTACCTTTGTAATAAATTTTTGAAATTGTAAAGAGACTTTATAGACACCCTGTAGATAATATTCACAAACGAAGCTAGAATTAAAAAGCAGTAGTTTGACCCTAATTTTTGTCTTCGAGATAGATAGATAGATAGATAGATAGATAGATAGATAGATAGATAGATAGAGAGAGAGAGAGAGAGAGAGAGAGAGAGAGAGAGGAAACAAACTCGAGAAGCTTGAAAATGAAACCGCTTCAAAACAAAAAAAAAGTGAATTTCTTCACAAAGTCACGACTTTTCCAACTTGATGCCATTGTTAATACAATTACAGTCTTCACCTTGTGACACAACAGAAAGAAGCAGGAACATTTTTTTTAAATTTCCCTGTATTATATGTACCTATTTACAAAATAATTGCAAACAGTTGCACAATAATACCATCCGACTTTCTTTAAACGGCAAGCGCTACCAGCAGAAACCCGCCGCCGCGAGTGCCATTATACACGATGTGTTACAATTGTAGCGAGTCGTTTCGGATTGTCGCGTTTACAACCAACCGCGACATGGGGAAGGAGGAAGAAGAGGAGAGCCAGCCACGAGGAGACCCGGCGAAAGTGCGAGAATACATGGCGAAACTGGGACGAAGCGGCCGGAATCGTGAGTCCGGCGACGAGATCGCGGAGCTCGAGGCGCGGCTGCGACGAGCGTACGTGGCGAAGGAGCTGCGAGCGCAGATCCTGGAGAGGGAGGCGGATCGTCTCGCGGAGGACGCGCGGCGGCAACGTGCGGCGGAAGTGGCGCGGTTGGAGCAGCGGGCGATCCTCGAGGACGACGTTCGTCGGAAGTCGGCGAGCCGCGCGATGTCTGAGGATTACGGGCGAGAGCTGACCGTTCAGATGAGGCTCAGGGAGGAGGAGAGGCGCGCGACGATGGAGGAGGCTCGCCGGGACAGGCAGATCCTGGCGGAAGTCGATCGAATAAGAGAGGAGCGGGAAACGTTGGAGGCGCTGCGCAGGAGGGACGAGCTTTCAGACAGCGCGAGGCGCGAGCGTTTGATTTTTCAGGGGATCAGGCGGATCCGCGAGGACGAGGCGAGAGAGGCCGAGGTGGAGTTGGCACGAAAGGGCGAGGCGTATTCGAGGGAAGTGGACGAGAGAGGCGAGAGTGCTCGAAAGCTGCGCGAGGAACGGCTGGGGAGGAGGGAGCGGGCGGCGAGCGAAATTGCTGATAGATTGATGAGCGTGGAAGCGCGAAAGAGGGAGATGGAGGCTCTGACGGACGAGTTGATAGCCGAAGATGTGAGGTGCGAGCTGCTGCTCGAGAAGGAGCTAAGGGACGTCGAAAGGAGGAGGATGAGAGAGGAATTGGCGGCTAATTTGAAAGAACAAATCACCTTCGCGGAAGAGTGCAAATTACGGTTCGTCGAGCGGGATAGAATGTTCGCGGAGGATGTTATGAGGAGGATCATGGAGGACGAGAGAACCGCCAGGCTGACCGCCGCGGCCAGACGAAGGGCGCAGCTACGGTATCGAGAGGACTTGGCTCGGTTGGTCGAATGCCGGCGTAGAATTCGAGAGGAGGAAATCCTCCGCATGGAGCTGGCTGACGGGGAAGAGAGGAAGCGCGAGGGAGCGAGACTCGAGCGCGTTAAGGACGACAGGAGGCGACTGTTGGAGGCACACGCGTCGAACCTTGGCCACTTTATCGACAAAGGCGCCCTTCATGACGAGGAGCGGAGGATCCTTGAAAAGTTCACGAACTGACGAACTCGACGAATTTTTTAAATCCTACATAATGTTTCTGACGTTAGAAACGACATTATTAGAAACGTCGACTGTCAGATATATTCACAGCTGACAGAGTATTTCACGCTTGAAACTAAAACTTAAACGATGAAACAGATCTACGTCTAGACACCTGCCGACAGGTGTTGCCAATTATTAAAATGTTCCTCGCGAGGATCCGCCAGGAAAGAGGAAACCAGACGCTTAGTCGAAACTGGAATTATGCATCACGTCCCTGGAAATGTCTGACTCGTGGAAATTATTGAATTAACACTGTCAAACCCAAAAATGACGAGCCTCGATCTCTTCCATTTTTAAAAATTTTAAAAAGATACGTACTGAAGTATCGATTGTCATGATATTTGCATTATTCGAGCGTAGCTAATAATAACGCAAGTGCACATTTACTCATGAAGCTGATTTAAACAATTAAGAATTTCGACGGCATTCGAGTAAATTTCTCATGCAATAGAACAAGAGAATACGTGTCCTATCGTTTGAAGAAAAAAATAGAGAAAATTTGCAATACACAGCCTTGTTACAGTATGAAAAAGATCACGTTACGCTAGCGCAGAACACGCTCCAAAGAGAATAATACCGCTTATGAATCTATCGAGTTAAGTTATTGTAAGTATGCACGTGTGCAAGACTTTGCTAGCCGAGGCTTGTAGTTACGCAACACCGCCACATGCATACTTAAATTAAAGCATCAGGTAGCGACATAGATTGCCGTGGTATCCAAGGCCGCGTGTGGAATTTTACGCTATTCCAGCAGAGATTGAACGAAAGTTACGGTATATTTTACACGGCGACCTGACCCAGATTTCCGATCTTTATTCTCTTGTTGGATTCTCTGTCAATCCGCATAACGTCGGAACACGTGCCGGGTAAATTTTGACACTTGACCAACTTTACCTGCCTCTGTGCCGCGAGGGCTAAAAGTGTCGAGTACTTAAAAGTGTCTGGCGTACGTTTCGGCCACATCAGGTCAAATTGTGAAACATTATATGACATTCGGCGCAGTTTCTAATAAATGTATCACTTTTTATATTATTTATGTGGCGTATTTATCCTTTTATCTATTAGACCACTTTTGGCCCATCCTTATCCCCTACTATAAATCACTTATACTTGCAATAAACATTATAACTGTAACGCGTGTAACATTATTTCTATGAAAAATAAATTATGTCTTAATTTTATATTTATAGAGAACTAAAATTTAGAGCTCAAAAACTTGTTACATTTGTAAGGTTTAAGATCCATTAGTTAATTACAATTAGAATTATAATGAATTGATTGTAGCAGCCTTTTTTTAGCCTTTGGATTAAGAACTAATATTCTTAAAAACTTTGACAATCTCCCAGTGATTTTTCAAATTCACTTGCTCTTGTTGGTTCTATCACCTATTCTGTACCAATAGCTCTATTATTGATTTTACTAGTATCTATTTATTCTAATTCTATAATGATAAAAGTCTTCAGTTAGGAAACAATTATTAAGAATTTTGATAATTTCCCAGTGATTTTTCAGATTCATTTACTCTTATTAATTTTGTTAATATTCTATATTAATAGCTCTATAGATTTTAGTATCTATTTCTATATCTAATTTCAATATCTAATATTTATCAGTTTTATTAGTATCTATTCATTGTAATTATATAATTAAAAAAGTCTTCGATTAAGAAACAATTATATATAGGGCTCTGGTAATCTCCCAGTGATTTTTCAAATTCACTTACTCTTGTTGGTTCTGTCACCTATTCTGTACCAATAGCTCTATTATTGATTTTACTAGTATCTATTTATTCTAATTCTATAATGATAAAAGTCTTCAGTTAGGAAACAATTATTAAGAATTTTGATAATTTCCCAGTGATTTTTCAAATTCATTTACTCTTATTAATTTTGTTAATATTCTACATTAATAGCTCTATAGATTTTAGTATCTATTTCTATATCTAATTTCAGTATCTAATATCTATCAGTTCTATTAGTATCTATTCATTGTGATTATATAATTATAAAAGTCTTCGATTAAAAAACAATTATATATAGGACTCTGGTAACCTCCCAATGATTTTTCAAATTCACTTACTCTTGTTAGCTCTGTTACATTATAAACGAGTGTACATGTACATGTACGCGCCCCTTGTATTTCCTTTCTTTCTTTTTGAAACATACTCGAGAGGAGAGTTGCTCGAAAGATCACCGATTCGATTAATAAGAGTAAGGGTGCCTCATGTTTGACTCCTAACTAGCGGAATGCGACAGCTTAAGTAATGACAGAAGCCGGCACATCAAGCATCTGGTCTAGTACGTTCTCCGTTCTCTGATTAATTCCCTCGATAAATCTTAAACGCAACTGTAACTAAATTAAACCAGCTAGAGAACAAGCCGGTTTAAAAGCAACGGCAACGTCAATCGATTACACAGTTTACCAACTCAATCAAGATCGAGCATCGCGTGCGTGCTTTCTTTAAATTTACTAGTTGTTCAGAGGTTTGACTCGTCGAAACGAATGGAGTTTCAAACTTTATCAAACTTGAGTGACTTGAGAATAGCAATATCAATCAATTGCACAGTTTAACAACTCAGTATACATCAAACACGTCTGTTTTCTTCAAATTTGTAACAAGTTGTTTTAGAGGTTTGACTCGTCGAAACGAATGGAGTTTCAAACTTTATCAAACTTGAGTGACTTGACAATAGCAATATTAATTACACAGTTTATCAATTCAGTATACATCAAACACGTGTGTTTTCTTCAAATTTGTAACAAGTTTTTGAGAGGTTTGACTCGTCGAAACGAATGGAGTTTCAAACTTTATCAAACTTGAGTGACTTGAGAATAGCAATATCAATCAATTGCACAGTTTATCAACTCAATATATACCGAATACATGTGTTTTCTTCAAATTTACAAGTTTTTGAGAGGTTTGACTCGTCGAAACAAATGGAGTTTCAAACTTTATCAAACTTGAGTGACTTGACAATAGTAATATCAGTCGATTGCACAGTTTGTCAACTCAATATACGTAAATATAAATATAAACTGTTTGAAATAGCAAACCAAAAGATCCCATCAATTGATGGTTTTAATAACAAAAATATTTGCACGATAAAAGCAATTTTTAATCTAAAGTTGTCACTCGCACTTAGACTTCCGAGCTTTCCTATTAACAAACGTAAGATTCTTAATCGCTGTTCGGGAATTACTCCTCGTTTTATCATTTACTCGCGGAATATTTCGCTTCGTGCAAACGGGTTGAATTAAATTTCAAACAAGTTGTCCGGCTTATCGGAACGAATGGAGTTGCAAAGCTTTACGAAGGGAATTTAATTTTTACGTGATAAATCGAGTGAATTGTTTCTACCCAAGCACGTCGTTGTTTCAAATAATCAGTAGCAAATAAATTACTCGGAACTAATTAATTTTTTTTCGAACGAGATTTTGCAGTTTTATTTTCATAAAAATTTATCAGTCCAATGAACGACTTTTTTTTCTTCTCGATTGTTCTCAAGGAAATTGAAGAAAAAATTCTAGAGCATTGAGGAGTATATTAGGAATTATATTAGAGAATATTATAGCATTAGGAAGTATATTAGAGAATTGTATCTCGTAAACAGACGGCGGACTTTGCGCTTAAAATTGAGAAAAAAATAAAGAGAAAATAAAAGAAAGGAGAATGATTTTTAAGTTTATCCCTCATTTAAAAGGGAAATGAAACACTTTCAATACTAAAACAAAGACTGATTGTTTGCTGCCTGGCTCGTACACCGTTATTTCAATTTATTTCACGTTAGGTGTTCGTTTTCTTCTTGCTCCGAGTGGAAGAATCAAGTTTCTTGATCGTTAAAAGGAATGGTTAACACGTTTCCTCTTTGTCGCAGCGTTAAATTATGTAAGTTTGCAAATTGCAAGTGTCGCTTTATTTGTTCAGAGATAAAAAAGGGAAAGGCAAGATGGAAAATATAATTATACAAAAAGAAAAGTGAACATTCCACGTTACGATACGAGTTATTTGACTTCGCTTGACTTTTATAAACGTGAATTCCTCCGAACGTGATTACTACATAACGTTTTATATTATAAAAAAATATATTTTCAAGGAAATGTAATTGTCCTTTTTCAACCAGAATTTATTATCATATCGTTTAATACTTTAATTAATGTTTGTCATGGTGGGAAAATTTCAATAGACGAGATGAAGAAGAAATTTCATGATATAAACACGTTGCCCGCAAATTATTCACGTAATTTGCACACCTGAAATAAATTATGCGTCTAACGAAAAGTTTAATACAAAATTAAATTATATTTTGTTTCAGTAGATAAAAGTTTAATACAAAAGTTGAATGGTTTTAAGGGCTCGTGTGTGTGTTGAGAAATTTCGAAATTTGCAATGTCATCTTTATTTTTTTTTTAATTCGACCATAACATGCTTTTTCATCATAAATCGTAAAAGTATTAGATTTTTAAAAGTGAAAAAGTATCGAGTCCTAAACTGGTTAAAAATGGTTAAAGAGATATTTTACGATAATTTATATATATTCTTATGCAATGTATGTTGTATACAGGGTGTCTCACGATTCGTGTCCAATCGATTAAATTCTACATGTAGAAATGTGTCGAAAGTAAAGAATAAAATTCGAGAAACTCGAGTTTGGAATATTCACGAAGTACACATCGCGTTTTACGGCAATTTCAAATTGTGGTACTTATAAAAATTACATTCAGTACCATCTGTTCATCTCGGTCGCGTTTTCCATAGGTTCCCATAACGGCGATAAACCATAATTAGAAAGTTCCTGAAAAGTACAGTTATTACGTGATAAAAGATAAAATTGTATCGGAGTATCGAAATAAATTATCTATTACTTGCTAGCGCATAAGTGTTTCAATAAGAACAACTATGAGTTTCCTACACAATGAATTTTCATACGAATAACATTTTCGTCGGAAGGTTATTCTTG